AACAGCTCAGAGCCTGGAGCCTGCTTCAGATTCTGTGTCTCCCTCTCTCTCTGCCCCAACCCCACACATGCTCTGTCTCTCTCTGTCTCTTAAAAATAAATAAATGCTAACAAAAATTTTAAAACAATAAAATTAGGCTTCATGAAGCAATATAATCTAGCTAAAAGCGCTTTGAAATAGAAAGTATCAGATATGTGTCGTTATTCCCCTGGTAGCACTGAACAACAGAAACACCACTAGGAAAACAGTGAGGAGCATTGCTTCTCTGAAGTGCAGAGAGTAATGTTCTGGAACCTACGGAGGAACTTTGAAGTTGCAGCTGAAATGTACTTTTAGCCGAATCCCCATTTACAGGAGATTGTGCATTTAGATTCGGTTTATAATAGATCCTTACTCAGCACTTTTTCTCGTCAGCAAAATCTAAATGATTTTTGCAAATAAATCACTGCACATCCTATGTGCAGCGATGCTAAATCCACACATGCGCACAGTCCTCATTACCCTGAGTCCGTATCTGCAAATTCACTGACCTTTGTTGAAAGTCCAAAATCAACACCACGTTGCTTTCATGGCCATTCCCATCCACCCAGAGTGGTGAAAACTTTGACTTGTCTGACACGTGCACCCCCAATGGAGGCGGAACGAGGTTGACGCTCTGCCTTGTTTCGACTAGCATACTATAATCATGACCTGTTTAGTGCCATGTCGTGGCCCGTTAGGTGCCATGTCGTTAGCATTTTGGTGCTTTTTGTTGGCAATTTCGCTGCTTAAAATGGCCCCCAGGGGGCAATGCAGATGTGCTGTCTGTGTTCCTGAGTGCGGGAAGGCTCTCATATGGAGAAAATAACACGTGTTAGATGAGCTTCCTTCAGGCTGGAGCCATGGTGCCATTGGCCGCAAACCTCAAATAATGAGAGTTGACGTATGTACCTCTTGCCTTTAGAAGGATTCGTCCTCCTTGGGCTGCTTTGGGCTCTCATTTCTGTGACCTGCCCCATTGATTGGCATTTCAAGGCAACTGTGGAGTTTCTAACCCACCTGGAACAGCACCCAGCATAGCTCCTACGCTAACATCCTTCTTCATCCTCTTCAGTTCGCTCAGTGCCGAGAAGAAACACAAGTACCTTCTAACTGTTCTGCAGCCCTCGCCCCTGAATCAAGTTAAAGGGTTGCCTGAGCCTCTGGTTTTTAAACATGGGTGCATATGTGAAACACCTGGGAAGCTTAAACAGTTACTACTGCCTGGGTTGTGATTTAATTGGTAGGGGCTATGACCTGGGTGGTAGGATTTTGAAAAGCTTCCCGGGTGATTCAGATCTGCAGCAAAGTTTGAGACCCTTGGGCCTAAATCACTGGCTTGGTTCTGCCGCAGGGCCAGGGCATGTGCTCTGCGACCACAGGTCTAGTATTAGTAAAGGCAATCGGCATTTTAGTAACATTGCATATTCAGGATACCTCTGCTTTTAAATTTTTTTATTTTATTTTTGAGAGGGAGAGACAGAGCGTGAGCAGGGGAGGGGCAGAGAGAGAGAGGGAGACACAGAATCCGAAGCAGGCTCCAGGCTCCGAGCCGTCAGCACAGAGCCCGACGCGGGGCTCGAACCCACAAACTGCGAGATCATGACCCGAGCCGAAGTCGGACGGCTCAGCCGACTGAGCCACCCAGGCACCCCCAGTACCTCTGCTTTTAAAGCTATGGGGTAT